CGAGACCATCGCATAATTCGTGAGTTGCCCCGATCACAAACGATGATATATTTCTTCTCTTTATCAAGAATTACATCTGTTGGAGACCTCAATTGGTTTAATGCGTCTCCAGGTCCATTTCCACCTGCAACAATTTCACCATTGTTCGCACCAAATTTCCATCTAACAATACGTTGGTTCTCACTATCAGCAATATAAAGATTATGATTGTCATCATCGACATAAATGCCAAGAGGGTGATTTAATTGATTTAATCCATTTCCTAATCCATGTCCTCCAGCAACAGTAGATCCATTCTGTTTCCATTTCGTATTACTATTAATAATAACAGAAGGAAGTAATTGTTCTAAAAAAAACATAGTTTGTTTTATTAAACATGTAAATCATGAGAGAGACAGTGTGAATATAGATGTATGAACTATAAATTCGATACTACATTCTCATTTATCTTTTAGTAAGTCTTTCAATATTATTTTATAGTAGTATAATGTATGACTATCGATATCGAAGATTAAACTATTTGTAATAAAAAAACTAATTAGTTTTAACATAATCATACCACCTGTTGTTGTTGTTTCTGCTGTTATTGTTGTTATGTCTGTTGTTATCTCAATAATTGATATTTTTTCTCGTTTAGTTTTGTTGACTGTAAAAATAATTGTTGGAATAACTATAATTATAACAACAAAACTAATTATGAAACATATTATCCAAGTTAATTTTCTTTTTCGAAAATGTTCATATCTAAAATAATAAATCATTTTGATAATTTATTGTAATTCATAATATATACATACAATGTCTGTAATTGTGTTCTATTAGGATTAACTACTACAGGCTAAAATATTTTAAAAAGAAAATAAAAATTTTTTTTCCGTATTTAATACATTACTTCTTCAATTGCAACTCTGTTATTCATGTTGGCAGTTGTTGGCTTCTTCGAATTTTAAATATTTTGCAATCTAAAATCGCCAAAAAAAATTTTTTTTTCCATTAAAGATCATTTTTCAACATTGATATAATTATAGAGAACATAAACTATCATGATGTATTCATATGTGAAATGATTAAAACTAACTTTAATATAATATAGATTTCTCTACTTCTTATCAATTAAATAATCAGTTCAACATGTTGCGACATTTGCGACAAACAAAAATCCTAGATCAATAGAGAATAGAATATTTATGTTGTACATAACACATTCAACAGGATTCAGTTTTTTTCTTGGAAAATGTTTCCAGATGCTCGTTTTCATGAACACTTTACAGTGGGGGATTCGTGAGCGGCATATTCAACGCGATTGCATATCCTATCTAAATTCTTTTTTTAATGTTTTTCAGCAAAAATAGTCCGAAATTAAAAGAACTTGAAGAACACTTTAATGCCATGTTACAATCATGAAAATCAATGGAACGATTTTATTGTTCATTTGATTGTCTATCAATATTCAGCAGTATCGGTTTACTCAGATGTTGTTTCTAAGTAACCACGTTTTTCAACAAATTCACCAATATTTTCACTATACATGACTATACAATGAACGACAATAACTAGTATTATATTTTTCAAATTAAATTAAATTTAAAAAAAAAATGAATATATTATGATTATCGGCTGTGAAAAAAAACGGACGTCATTTGTAATGTAACAAGTTTCGTCTATCAAATCTCTCCTATGTATAAAATCAACATTAAAACCCTTGAAAAAAAATGTATTGCTGACAACCACAAGTCATATACGTCATATTTTTCTTTCCATTAAACGTGACGTGCATTTCTCTTGAGTATAAAAGAATGAAAAAAAAGACTAAATTTATATTTTACATTAGTTTCTCATTTCTTGTGTTGTTTGTTGTAGTTTCTACACTCATTACATATGAATAAGAATGGAACGATGAAATATGCTCCAATAAAATTTAAAATCATTTTATATTCTTTTAGAAACTCATTTTAACATTATTTATTTTATCTCATCAAATAATAAATCCAATGATTGTTGATCCTACAAATAATTCCAACTCAATTCAGATACCATTCCTACCAGTACAAGGTATATAGAATTCTTTTTTAAATTTCTTAATTATATATTTTCTTATATTTTAAAAAAATTAGGTGAATGCTGCAAAGCAGCGTTTGATGCAACTTATCCTCAACAACTAAATGGAATAATTACAATCAATGAATTTCAAGAATCAATAGAAAATATTAATAAAAAAGTTTCTATCAAGAGATCTTTGATAATTCTCATTATAATTAGTGCTTTTACTTTATTCCTCTGTTTTCCTCTTGGAATAATGATTTTATCATTTCGACGTCATACTAAGATGCGACGAGCAATTGAAGAAGAATCAGCTAAATATTCTACACGATCATCAAAACCATGTCGTTGGCATTTAGATGTTTCTGCATATTATGCTGGCATGTCTAGAGGTCGCCAACAATTTGGAGCCGTCTCTTGTGTAAGTATTAGAAATACTCTGTAGATATTTGTAATTTATTTATTTTTAGATAATGATTGATATTGGGGGTTCTACCGTTCCAACAAATCAAATAGCTACTCAACCACAATCATATTTCAATTAACCAGATGGGAAATTTTTGTTTACAGTGCGGAACACCACGAGAAAATCTAACAGCAAAATTTTGTTTATCTTGTGGCCAGGCATTTTAAATATAACAAAATTTAATCGAACAAAAAAATACTGGATCTTTAACTACTATATTAAATTAGTTTTCTTTATGTATTTTTTTATTGTTTTCATTGACATTGAGCATGACAAAAAAAACTATTTTTGAACTGAAATTTAAACGAATTGTGATATAAAAGAGTTTATTTTTTCAACATTTAATAATCATAATCAATATAAGAATCTTAATACACTTCGTTTCTAGATTAAATCTTATTTAGTTAAGGGTGTGGGTTCCATTAATAGATGAATATCACCCACACCAACACTCACACCCTTATCACTAATATCGTATTTAATAGTATGTCTCAACGTACAACTTGTTTTCATTAAATATGTATCGAATCACAAACTACACTATAATCATTGTTTTAATATTATTTTCTTTAAAACTAATTTCTGAAATATACATTTTTTGTCAAATTTCTATAGTGATAATAGATAAAATTTATTAGATAATATTTATATAGCATTTAAAGCTTTATCACGGACAGCATATAAAATATATTCTGAAAAATTTGTTCGAAACGAAGAAATATTGTTACTTAAGTCAACTATGTATTTTCTTTTGTAATTTCTATTGTGATTCTATTTGATTTATACGAACATGATGATGGTGCACATTGATTATAATAATTTTCATAAAATTTATTAATTATATATTCTTCAACTATTAGATTATTTAAAATTGTTTGAATAGTTGTATTCATCTGATATTGAAGTGTTGTTTGAAGAAGAGATTCAGGTGGATAACAAATCGAACATCAGTTTTTTTTCTTGAACTTGAGTCTATATCTGAGAATGTTACTCCAGATTCAATTTTCATTATGTATTGAATTTCAGTGGAATGGTATGAACTCTAGTCGAGACTCATCGGGGAGTTGATAAGAATTAGATAAATTGCTAAATTTTGATTATATAACTAACTGAAGTTAGAAAAAGAATGAGAAAATCGAAGTTTATTATTATATCCAAAGATGACAAGGTATTTAAACATTTTTCTAAAACAAATAATTTGGAAATTTTTTGATCTAGTTGACAATAATATCTCGCAAAAGTTAAATGAATAATCATTATTTTATTTAAATGATCAGTTATTAAAAAAATTAGATCAGCTAATTAAATTGAAGCGTTAGTTTAGAAATCAAAATGTGATTCACTTTTTCTTTTCTTTCCTTCTGGTATGTTGTACAAATGATAAGTGTGACATACATCCTAAATCTTAAATTTATTTAAAAAAATCTTCAGTTGTTTACGAACAGTTTTAAAAATGAGGGGGAGGGGATTAGGTCGTTGTCACCACTAAGTGCATCTCTCTTCAATCTTACACGCCCACTCTAAAATTAAAGTCTATATTTTTGTTTTGTGATGAGAAAAGAATCATATGTTTATATCAGTAAATCATTCTCTCGGCGAAATTTGAAAAAAAAACTTGGTGATAATAATTTCAATCGATTTTACATAAGACCATCAATAATAAATAAGAGAATTATTACTGATCGAGTTGTTATATGAAATATATGTATACATAAAAAAAATCGATACTTTTAAACTGTGTTTTGCTTCTTCCTTTTCTTGTCGATATATTTATACAATTGAAAAATTGGCCAAAGTATATTTGCTTTATTCATTCTGTTTTATACGAGCAAAATATGTCAATCGTGTAATTTATTATACTATATGTCTGATACTGTCGAGGTATGTCAGTCATTCGTTCTTTGACAATGACAAAAAATCATATACAGTAAATACTTATGAAAATTAACTTTTTTCACCAGTTATTTTGTTTTCAAGACGATTAAATAAATTATTTCTAATATTTATCATGATTTTGAATATTGTGAAAACGGAAGAGTATTATTCGTGACTATTCAGTTCTAAAATTTGCTGATATTATAATAATTACGATATAAATCATGTCTACGACTAATACATCAATTCATCAAGTACAGAACGTGCATTGATTTTAAAAGTACATCAAAAGATTTTATTGACATATGGTTTATTTTTGGCATAGCGGTCTTCGTCGAAATGTATGGCCAGACAGCTTATCGGAAACTTCCAATATTAACAAATGAATAAATAATCATGCCGAAAAACGTTGATATATAAAACTGGAGTCGATTGTGTTCTCTCTATCATTCTTATTTTTGATTTAGGGTATTCTTTCTACATAAAGGTAAATGAATATTTAATAATAATATAGTGCCAAAAGTCTATCATAGACAAAAATCACAATAATTATACGTGTATATATTTATTGTACTTAAATAGTTACTATGGATAATCTTAATGATCTGGTTCAAAGTTTTCACAATTGCGCTAATAATGGCTCTTCGGATGCTGCTAGAACGTTCATTGATGCAGCAATTGGTGTCATACAGAATTCATGGGCTGACGCACGAACTCCTGAAAGAGAGTCAGATAGTTATGGTTCATCAAAATAACATTATGATAGTGTAAGTTGCAGGTATTTTGTATTGATTTTAATATGATTTATCTATCTTTTAGATTTCAATGAAATCCGTAGGTGTTATTTCTTTCACTCATCGTTCTATGATTAACTTAGTTAGGTGCAATGCATTATTACTTAATTTTTATTTTGATGAAATTCAATTGCTCTATGCTCATTGTATATGATTCTATGAAGAAGACAGTTAAATAATTCTTTTATGAATTTAATGAAATGTTATTACTTTTTTTGTAAATATATTTTTGTTTATCAATATTATCATTATGGTGATCTGATAGATAAATTAATAAAAAATATTTTATTATATCAATAGCTAGTTTAAATATATAGTAGAATGATGAGCATGTACGTGAATAGAAATGAAAAAAATAAAAAATAAATGGAACAAAACTATAGTGATAGTATAGTCTAGCTACTATAAAAAAATTAGGTTTACTAATTCAAATTAAGAAGAAATAGAAAACAAAGTAAAGATAGATAGTATAAAATAAAGGGTATGAAGACTCTACTTTTATTACTACTATTATTAGCACTTTGATTATATTGTATTAGATATGTACGATTATTTCCATCTTCACTAAATAATAAACTTCCATCTTTTAAAACTAATAATCCAACTGGACGTCCAAATGTATCTGGTCCGGATGCATTTGTTAAAAATCCATATAAAAAATCTTCATATGTACCTAATGGTCGATTTGTTGCATTATCAAATGGAATAAATATAATTTTATAACCAGTTCCATTATTTCGATTCCATGAACCATGAAATGCAGCAAATGCACCATTTTGATAACGATTTGGAAATTGAGTGCCTGTATAAAAACGCATATCAAGAACAGCTGAATGTGCTTGAAATAAAACATCAGGTGTTTTTGTAATTGATACTAAATCAGGTCGTTCACTTGTTCCATTACTAAAACATAAACGTGGATCAGTTAAATTTGAACTTAAATATGCATATGGCCATCCATAAAAATCATTTTCATTTACACGTGTAAAATAATCAGGTACAAGATCATCACCAAGTCTATCTCTTTCTTGACATGTTACATAAAGATCATTTGTTTTTGGATGAAAAGCTAAACCAACTGCATTTCGAAGGCCATATGCATATGTTGTTTGATTACTACCATTTTGATTAGCTTGTTGAATAGATGCACGTGGCAATGATTCAACATCATCATCAGATGCTGAACCAATGCTAACAAATAATTTATTATTAACGGGTGATATAAGAATAGTTCGAGTTGTATGTCCACCTTGAGAATAACTCATTATAATTTCACCTGTACCTGTAATATTTCGACTTCCTGACGTCCATAAATATCTTCGAGTTGCATCTTGATTACCAACATAGAAATATCCATTAGAAAAAAGCATACCATATGGTGAATTAAGTCCATTAGATGCATCAGCAAATGTTAATCTTTGGTCAGGGTAACCATTCTGATCAGTATCAACTAAACAAGATATTCGATTTGCATCTGGTTCACTAACAAGTATATCATTTGTTGGTGTATAAATAAGATAACGTGGTGATGAAAGTCCACTCATATATAATTTGGTTGTAAATCCAGTGGGAGTATAGAATAATGGATCTGATGGTACAGGAATGATTTGAGCAGTTCTAGTAACTGATAATGAAGTATTTGGTTGAGGAAGATCAGCAGTTGTAATATGAATAGATTGTGGAATAAAAGTAAGATTTGTACCATTTGTTTCATATATTGATAGTAAAACTAGAAGTAAAAGTAACGGTGTTAGAGTCGATAAAAACATTGGTCTTGAAGTTTGTTGATGCCGTTTATTCGTTTGATTACTAACCTAATAGAGCAGTATTTATATACAAAAACTACCAACCAGAAGAATAAATACAATTATGTATCGCAAAAGATTCATAAGTTGTTTGCGATAATATTAAGTGCGACATAGTATTTCTTTTTTTTTCTTTTAGTTTTTATCACCTCGTAAAGTCTTAGAGTATATTTATTGAATAAACGAAATTCATCTGGATAAGTATATAATATACGTTTCGTACAAAACATCTATTCTGAATATAGTTAAACATATTTTTATTCTATGAGAAAAATTCTATTATGCACGATTAACATAAACATATAAAATTTTATATACAATAAATTATCTGCTTAGTTATTTAATGATTACGAGGAGCTCCTCCACCAATACGACCATCACCATTCAGATCCATATGTGTTACTTGTTCAGCTTTACCAAGAAGACCTACAAATAAAATTCAAAAAGATATTTATTCATTTATTTATATGAATATTTTATATACCTGCTCCAGCTCCTGGAGCTCGACGTCCTCCAACAACTCCATCATGATTTAAATCCATGTGAGTAGCTTTTTCAATTTGTCCAGTAACACCACCTCCTCCAACTTGACCATCTCTATTGATGTCCATACCTGTTTTTTCTTCAATTTTGTTTGTAACAAAGTCTATTGAAAATAAAATTAATGTTATTTAAATTAAAAGAAAAAACTTACTCATATTTTTTTTTTATTATGAATGAATTGATTGCTTGATAAAGAATTTTATAATGTTTAAGACAAAAAGAATATCGCTTGTCTTTTTATACACCAAATATATGCGACGCAAAAGAAAAGAAATCGAGTGCTTTCTTATGATTACTCAACGTTTTGCGTCGTATGTAACTATACACGTGTATGTTTAACGCTCAAACATAAGAACAAACAATATAAATTACGCTCTCCTCACATACAAGTATTGAATTCTGCACTTTTTTTTCTTCTTCCTATAGTAAATAAGGTGTGTCACATGTATATATAAATGTGTGTAGCGTTGAAAATATATAACATACTCGATGCTCCTAGTATATTTATAAATGTCCGCAGCGATTGAAAAAAAACGAATGCGTCATACATCAAATTTTTTTGATTATTTTTGTAAAATTAAAATCATATTTAATACAAAATGATGAGAAATATCAATGATGATTTTTTTCCAAGAACATTCAAAATTATTTATTCTGATTATGGTCTTAAATCGATTATTAAAATTTTATCTTTCAAAAACTCTGATGAATATTTAACTGATGTACAACAATAAAGTTATTGAGTGTGGAAAGAAGATTATCGTTAGTCGTCAATCAAATAAATCTTTGGGTGTATTCTTGTTCAAACACAAGGAAAAAAGAGTTTGACTAGGACTAGTTGTGATTATTTTTAATAAATTTATTTGTCTTAAATTAGGGATGTTACTTTATCTTTATTTAAATTTAAAAAATAAAGTTAAAATAAAGAATAAAGAAATTTTTTTTTAAATATCTAACATTTTATGTTTTCCGAGTACCTCTCCAAATATTATAAGGACGCAGACTAAACAAGATTCTGGAGAGAAGTTTTTTCCATAAATCTTTTATACCTCACGTTGATTTGCTAACACTGTTCGACATTAGAATGTGGCTAGTAACAGAAAGAAAACTGCCATCAATATTATCTGATTTTATATCAATTATTTCTCTATTTACCGTTTATTTGAAAATATTTTCTTTATTCTTTATTATAGGGAAAAATAAAAATAAAGTAACACTCCAAGTCTTAATCATAAATGTAGAACTTTCAAAAAAGAATATTTACCTACGAAAATATTATTAGTCTTTAGAAGAAAACAATTTTTTTTTGGTATCCGAATAAGTACATCGTTGTATTCTATTTTTTTAGAGATCATGAACAAGTTTTATGTAAAAATTGGAATTTTTTATTGCTTTTTTTTATTTTTCTGAATAAATGTATATATTTTCTTACGTGCGGGTGTGGGGTGGGTAGATAGGTGTTGGTCTCTGCTTCAACCATACCGAATTTGTTTTATTATTTCATCTTATCTATCAACAAGGGAGATATAATGCGTCATAGGATTGCTCGATGAATAGTTTTATTTTGTTTTATGTTGTTTTCTTATCACTCTTTGTGCCAATCCAAACGATGGCCTATTTACGATGTGGCACTTTCATACCATGTCGTGACATTCGTATGTTGTGGCACTTTCATATCATGTGTTGACATTCGCATGATGTGGCACTCTCATATCATATGATAATACTCTTGCATTGGTTATAGCTTGTTGTTTTTAGAAGAGGCGTAGTAAAAAAACGCAAGTGATGATAAGCGAAGTCAGTACCAAAAGTAAATCTACGACATCAAAGGTAACAAAACGTGCACATTTTATCACACTAGCATATTACACACAATACATACGAATATTTGGTGAATTACGAGTAACTGCAAGAATGGTCATTGATATGGGATATTCACGCTTTATTCAGATGATAGGTCAGTAACATTAAGTATAGATATTGTCGTATGAGAAAGTTTTTGTCTAGGTCTCAATCGATATAATATCATAGTATTCTTTCTAGCAGAAATGTTATATATTGTATCTTGATTTATTTTAGGATTGGCAATATTATTCGCAATAATTGTTCGTAGTATCCAGAATATTGAATTGGAAAAGATAAAAACTACCGATCTGAAATCACCGTTCGGACGGCATGAACTAGAAAATCTAACCCACTACATAGTATTTTGTATACATGATTTATCTGCGATGGGTTTTTGTGGATTATTTATTTTGCAGTATTTAATGGGCATATCACATCCGAAACATGCATTTCTTGGTCGTATTATTGTTCTAGTACTATCAGTGGCTGTGATTTCTGGTTTTACTCTTATAAAACTGAGAAAATCTGAAAGTCTTCGTCATGTTACTTCCAGTCAGTTAAATGAAATCACGATTTTGACTCAAGGCTTTTGTGTGATCGCAATTTCTTTAAATGCATTCGTCATAAAACGATGGTTGAAGACCAAGTGGTTTGCAACTTTTCTTATCATTTTTCATTTATTCGGAATTGCAATGGGTTTACGCTCATTAAAGTTTCTTTTAACAATGATATTTCAGCTAGATAATGGTACAACAAGTCCACGAACTAGAGAAGTTGGTATTGAGTTATTAATTCTCATAACTATACCTGAACTCCTCACTGATCTTATATATTTATTCATTCATTTAACACAAATGAAGAAAAGATACTCTGGATTTATCTGGCTACTTCATCATGAAATGAGTGTGGTATTTTTAATATGTCTAGCATCACCTGGCATCATGTTTACATTTATGCATGATTCATATTGGATTTTTTCAAGACCCATAGATTCTATGTTGATGAGAATAATTCCTATAGTGACAATATTGACCAGTTTTCTTATCTATAATAAAACAACAATTTTAAATAATATATCATGTCATGTTGACTTTAATAAAATTTGTTCATGAATAAATTACAAAATAATGCTTGTTGTTTCAATTCTCTTGACTTTCAATTTGAATGTAGAATTTCATTCTTTTTTGATCATTTCAATCATTCTAAGAAAATTGATCATGATAGTAAACTAAGTTATGTGTGCCTATCGTCTCTGCTTTCATGAGAATATTTAAGTAGAGCAGTGTGAGTGTGTGATGAAGGTGCAAGGTACAGCAGAAAGCGCAGTGACAGACGCGATATTCGAGATTCAACTCAATATCGTAGCTGACATAGAAGCTATTATAGTGTTGTATTTCACTGCACACCGAATCCTGTTTTATAATGAGTACCTATAAAAAAACAGACGGCACAAAGCACATGAAACGGGTGAATATCTTTAACGGAACCGTATAAGAAAAATATATGTTTGAAATTAACGATCTGATTTTATCCATTAGTTACCGTATAGTTATATTGCGGTATATATTTATTCTATATTAGAGACAAGTTCCTTAGATTATATTAGTCCTTTGAATTCCAACTTTTCTTGAAAAAAATCCGAATTTTTTTAAGGGCAGGTGTGAGTGAGTGAGCAAGAGAACCAAACCCACACTCTACGTTGTTTTTTAGAGTACAACTTATTGGAAGATTGAAAATTTGCATTTTTAAAGTGACAAAATTTATATCTAATGACGGAGTTCAACGACGCTCGCAACTGAAGAAAAACGCAACTCTTTCTTCTATTTAATATTACTTCTAAAAATAAGTCAAATCATATTTTAGAATAAAAGCCAAAATAAAGAAAAGAACACTCACCAACTGACAAATTCTAAATCTAACTCACATAAACTGTATTCAAAAGTGACTAAAGTAGTTTTTGAGCGTTTTCATCTTGGCATTGTATCGGGAAACAAAGATATATGCGTCGAATTTTCCATGCTGCTCTTTGACGGCATAGAAAGTATCGTCTTTTTTTAATATGAATGCAAATATCTTATGGCAATAGATGCCTCGAAAGCTTAGCGTTTAACTTATTTAATAAGAAATGAAGATAATTATATATAAAGACAAGTCAACTGACGAAAAACAAGCAAAATGTCGTCTTCTTCATTAGCGCTCGTTCAACTTCAACTTGATCGGTATGGACTTCTCATGATCTTAATTTTTGGTAATATTGGAAACGTATTCATTATGTTTCTTTTCAAACAACATTGGAAGAATCCATGTGCAATGTATCTGATGAGTGCAGCTGTGACAAATATACTTTTACTCACATTCAACATTCCCATGGCACTCTACAGTTTTGATTATGGTGACCCAGCCTCAAACTCGATGGTACTGTGCAAATTACGCCCATATTTAAGTAATGTCTTGAGTCAAATGGGTAGATATTTTGATGCACTAGCATGTATTGATCGTTTGCGAACATCTAGTCGATTATCAACAGCACGATATCTTATTGGTATAATGACTATTGTCTGGTCTATTGCCGCTAGTCATTCACTAGTCATGACAACAATCATAGACGGACATTGTGGCATGACTAAACTCTATTCCACTATTTACACTATTTATATATTGATCTTTACTTCTTTGATTCCGCCTGTAACCATGACTATCTTTGGATATTGGACCTATAGAAATATGAAACAATTACGTACACGTATACAACCAATTCGAAATGATGATGTAAGTGGTCGTCAAAGTTTTAGCATTACTAGTCGAGATTGACAATTATTGACAATGGTAATTACAGAAATCTTAGTATATGTTATATCAATGAGTCTTTATCCGGTGATTTTGTTTGAAATGTTGATAACCAACTATATGAACATTAACAAAAGTCCTCGATATCTTGGAATTGAAAGTTTTATCTATACTATTGCAACACTTCTGGGCTTTGCGAACAATACTGCATCGAGTACTTTTCGTCAAGATTTTAGAAAGTTCTTGAATTCATGTTGGTTTCGAATAACACGACAAAATTTGATAAATGTCGATCAACCAAGAACACCAATTCAGATAAATGCTGAGACTCGTATTTAAATTAGTTTTGTTAGAAAAGTATTGCTTTACATAATTATAATAATTCATCACAGAATTTATATTACATATCAACGTCATTTGTTTAGAGCCGTGATTATTATATTAATATAATAAAATAATGAACACTTTGTATTGTTGACAAAAGAACTTTCAGAATATAATTATTTTGCTACAGCTATTTTTTTACTTGATACTGTCATGAAAGTCAGTAATTGTAAATTTTATAATATGCCAAAATATTGTTTTTTGACCTTTTGAAAATACACCCATTTCCTTTTTTTTCTTCTTCGTATTCTTTTACAGCTAATTAAAGATAGAGATCGAGCGAGAACCATCTTGAGGGTGTGGGTGTGTGGCTAGGAGTGAGTCTTGAAGAAAGTATCCCTCTTCTTTATCCACCCACATCCTTTACATAAGCAATCTTTTTGGATAATTAGTAATCTTTCATAATATAATCTTTTCAAACCATCAAACTATTGGTCACCATGCTTTTCATACATTTAACTCATCTGTTCAATGAAACCATAGTGACAGATGATGAGAAAGAATGATTAATATGCAACTTCGCTTTTCTTTTCAAATTTCTTTATTTATACACCCTCGCTTCTTTCTGACAAATGACTATACATACAACGACTAAAATAGAATGGCAGGAATAATGAAACTGCATTAACGTTTGTTTGTTTCATTGTCAATGTACTTTTTTTTCTCAACCTTTCTTTCTTCTTATACTTGCGTTTTAGATGGCTAACTATAGATCAACAATAGAGCTTCTTTTCGCGGAACGATTTGTAAAAAAATCAAAAGAAGCCACATGTCTATTCTTAATAATGACTTTTTATTTTTAAATTTAAACGAAAAGAATTTATTTGTCTTATATAAAATGCTTGTATACTACACGCAATTCTCTCAAAATACTATTAACAGTATTTTTCTTCATAGGTTTTCATGCAATATGATTTATAATGAATATAAGTTTAGTAGTCCATGCAGTTACTTATGCAAAATTTTTACCAGATTTATTCAATTTATTCTTTTGTATCGATTAAAATCAATATTCACCAAACAAAAATTGATGGTGCAAACTTTTTGCGTGAATTCTATTTTCAATACAGTTTTTCTGGAGTCAGAATAATTGATACACATAAAAATTCAAGAGCCTAAAGATGTTGCTATATATATATATGCTGCTTATTACAGCAAAATCATTCATGTTGTCTTGAAATAACTGTTCTGGTATACAAAAAATACCAAACAGCACATAATTTGATAAAGAAATCATTTCACAAATTAATCTTGTTAATGCGAAAACAAACTTTCATCTGAATATCTCACAGAGAAGCTTTGCCTTACTTCAAATAATATATCACTTGATAATTTATTCAATATACGCATTTTCTCATGTAAAGTATACAATTTTTAAGCATCTCTATTTTTGAGGAAGTTTATTTTATTTACAATTGCTATCATCAGTTGAAAGAACAATTTCCACCCTTATGGATACAGAATAACTTCGTTTTTATTCAAAAATAGTATTCAATGCTTAAATTATGAAAACGTTTCTTCATATTTTTGTGATTTTTGAAAACTCTTCAATCATCGTGTACGAAATATTTCGCTTGTTCCAAGAGAGAACAAAAAAGTTTCTTCGAACATACTTTCATCGATATTGAGTCTACAGTTTTTTTCATTCATTGGCATACCGTTTAAAGCAATGTACAAAATTTCATAAAGCTTATTTCATTTTCTTTTCATAATAAATTTCATACATTCATCAAATATTCATATAATGTCTAACAGAAAAGTGCAAGAGGAAAACTAATTCAGTGAAAGAATTGTATTTTTCTTTCTACCTTTATTCGATTATTGGCTTCTGTGTTGTTCGTTCTTTCGATAAGGTGAACAACAAATGTGTTTGCTTCATTCTGTTTCTTGCTCTGTACAATATTATTTTCAAAAGTAACTAGGTGAAATTTGTTCGTAAGCGACAACGAACAATCGAGAATAAACAAGTCACTGCCTATATAAAGAAAAACGGTGACTTTTCTTTTCATTCAAACAACAAAATCTACTAAAAAGTTTACCTGCAACAAAAAATTACAACAAGATCAAAATGAGTGAATCAGAATCAGATGAAAACGCTATAGCATCATCCGACTCAACGGCATCACCAAATATTCTCCAACCACGACAACCTATGGCTCCAAATTACCTTCTCGTTTGGATAGATACCAGCATCGACGAAACAAACAAGGATTGCCAAGAAACATTGGCTCAATTGAAGAGCTTGATCAACCATGTCGTCCTATGCACTGAACTGGATCGATGCATCCAAGTACTCAACAAGGTTGACAAGGAACGTGTCTTCGTGATAACATCATATTTGTTAGGTCAACATTTCGTTCCTGAAATCCATGGCACGCCACAGTTAGAGGCAATTTACATCTTTTGTGGCGACGAATCCGGACATCAAAAATGGACTCAAAATTGGGCAAAAATCAAAGGTATTCATACAAATATGAAAGATATTTGTCAAGCATTACAAGCGGATGTCAAGCAATATAATCAAGACTCGATTGCTATGAGTTTTGTCACCGTAAATGAATTGGCTTCCATTTATGATTTAAATCAGTTGGAGCCAACTTTTATGTATACGCAGATATTCAAGGATATTCTTCTTAATATAAAATATGGTGAACAGGCTATCAAACAGTTTATTGCTTATTGCCGACTTCATGACTGCGGATCGACAAAGAATATTGATGAATTTGAAAAAAAATACCAACCTCAATTAGCTATTTATTGGTACACTCGCCCAACATTTATCTTTTCTATGCTCAACGATGGTCTTCGAACAATGAACGCCGATATAATTATTACTATGGGTTTTTTTCTACGTGATGTACATAGACAAATTCAACAGTTATACGAAAGACAAGTCAGTCACTATGATGGAAAACCTTTTGAAGTATATCGAGGGCAAGGTCTTATGAAATCAGACTTTGAAAAGCTTCAGAAAACACAAGGCGGTTTAATGTCGTTTAATAATTTCTTGTCCACCAGCAAAGATAAGGAAATATCCATCGGTTATGCTGACACTGCTTCAACAGTACCGGATAAGGTGGGTGTTCTGTTTATAATGTCAATTGATCCTTGTATTAAATCAACACCATTCGCCTCCATCGAAAAGGAGAGTTATTATAAGGAAGAAGAAGAAGAAATTCTCTTCTCAATGCACACCGTCTTTCGAGTTGGTACTATTAAACAAATGGATAATAATGATCAACTTTATCAAGTTGAATTACAGCTAACATCAGATGGCGATCAACAATTACGAGAATTGACAGATAGGATACGAGAAGAAGCTAGTGGTACTGAATGGCAGAGATTGGGTGACTTATTGCTTAAAATTGGCCAATTCAATAAGGCGGAAGAACTTTATAAGGTATTACTCGAGCAGACATCAAATGAGACTGAAAAAGCGTTTTGTTATGTTTGTCTGGGATATGCCAAAAATAGCCAGCGTGATTATGAAATGGCTATTTGGTATTACATACAAGGAATTGAACTCTATGAAAAAACTCTTCCTTCAATTCATCCTAATTTGGCTACTTCATACAACAACTTCGGTAATGTGTACTGCAACATGGGGCAGTACTTGAAAGCACTTTCATTCTATGAAAAAGCACTTGAAATTCGACAAAAAGCTCTTCCTTCAAATTCTCCTCATTTGGCTAATTCATACAGCAACATCGGTAATGTGTATACCAACATAGGAGAGTACTCGAATGCACTTTCGTTTTACGAAAAAGCACGTGAAATTAAACAAAAAACTCTACCTTCAAATCATCCTTCATTGGCTATTTCATACAACAATATCGGTTTGGTGTATAACAATATGGGAGACTATTGGAAAGCACTTTCACTTTACAAAAAAGCACTTGAAATCTTTCAAAAAACTCTTCCTTCAAATCATCCTGATTTGGCTAATTCACTTGATAACATTGGGATGATGCATTGGAAGATGGGAGACTATTCGAAAGCACTTTCATTTTTCGAAAAAGTACTTCAAATTCGACAAAAAACTCTTCCTTCAAATCATCCTGATTTGGCTAACTCATACAACAATATCGGTTTGCTGTATAACAATATGGGAGAGTACTCGAAAGCATTTTCACTTTACAAAAAAGCACTTGAAATTCGACAAAAAACTCTTCTTTCAAATCATCCTGATCTGGCTACTTTATACGACAACTTCGGTAATGTGTATTGCAATATGGGGCAGTACTTGAAAGCACTTTCATTTTACGAAAAAGCACTTGAAATTCGAGAAAAAATTCTTCCTTCAAATCATCTTGATTTAGCTACTTTATATGATAACATTGGGGTGGTGCATAGGAAGATGGGAGACTACTCGAAAGCACTTTCATTTCTCGAAAAAGCACTTGAAATCTTTCAAAAAACTCTTCCTTCAAATCATCCTGGTTTGGCTAATTCATACAACAACATAGGTTTGGTGTATTTCAACATGGAAGAGTATTCGAAAGCACTTTCATACTACGAAAAAGACGTTAAAATTCGAGAAAAAATTCTTCCTTCAAATCATCCTGATTTGGCTATTTCATACAACAACATCAGTACTGTATATTCTAAGATAAGACAGTATTCGAAAGCACTTTCATTTCTCGAAAGAGCACTTGAAATCTATCAAAAAACTCTTCCTTCAAATCATCCTGATTTGGCTACTTTATACGACAACATTGGTTGTCTGTATGTCAACATGGAAGAGTACTCAAAAGCACTTTCATTTTTCGAAAAAGTACTTCAAATTCGACAAAAAACTCTGCCTTCAAATCATCCTGATTTGGCTACTTTACACAAGAATATCAGTTTAGTGAGGGAAAAAATAGACGAGTACTCGAAAGCACTTTCATCTCTCGAAAAAGACGTTAAAATTCGAGAAAAAACTCTTCCTTCAAATCATCCTGATTTGGCTACTTCATACAAC